AGTTGTACAACTTCAAGAACGTCATCATTTAAATTTAATGTAATATAATAACTTTTATTCAATATCAATAAAAGAATTAACGTGACAATCATCCTAACCTGAAATTAAAAAAAAATTGTGAAAAGCAGCTGTTTATTTAAAATGCCTACATTAACGAAATATTTTTAAAATACAGTTAGGTAACATGCAATCGCGTGCTTTATTCAACTTTAGAATATAACCTTGATTTGTATCTGCGGCGATTCAAGAAACTGTTGCAATCGGAAAAATGAGCCCGAAAATTAGCGTTTTCACAGTTTTTAATTAATATCTCAGCTGATTAACGTCCTACGAAGATGAGAATGGTATCATTGGATTCGTAGAATTTTTTGGAATCCGCAGACACCTGCCTCGAATTCCAACTCAGCGCCGTTCCATAGATATTTAAGAAAAAAGAAATTGACACGTGACCTTTCGCCAGCACAAATCTCGAGCGGAAGCAATTGTCATCCCCCCGGCGCTTTCGAAAAAGCAATTTTATCTCAGCTAATTCCGAGACGGTTGCCACTCCGAAAAATGAAATAACGTTTTCGCAGTTTTTAATTAATAACTCCGCCGATTATTGTCGTACGAAGATGGGACCGGTATCGATGGATTCGTTGATTTTTTTCGAATACGGGGATATGCGTTTCGAATCGCAACTCGGAGCCGTTCCGCAGATATTCGAGAAAAACGAATTTGGCACTCGGCCAAATCCCTAAAATAGGGGAAACCCGTGAAAGAAAGTGCAAAACGTAGGGAAATGTAGGGAGAAAAATCAGTTTTTAATTAATATCTCGGCTAATTAAAGTCGCACGAAGATGCCGATGGTCAATCCGGCGAGCCACGGGCATTCTGAATCCAACGGTACCTTCCGCTAAGCTCTACACCCAGCCGTTCCCGAGGAGATGATGTTACAAACACACAAACAGACAGAGGCACACAGATTTTAATAGTATAGACTAGCGGGCAAGCCCGCCAGCTGAAGCGGGCTGAAGCCCAACTTATTCCGGGGATTCGAGCCTTCGCTGGTATTCGAAAGTTGGACCGAAAACAGTACCAGTGTACACGCGATTTTTTTTTTGCGATGCGCGCCCCGCTTTATTAACATGCATGCAAGTATTACGCCATGCGTAAAATACACGAAAACACCACATGCAGCCAGCCCGCTCGCCCGAGATTCGAAAGTTTGAGCGAAACCGAGTGTTCAGCGGTTTTTTACCCGGTATCCGCGCGCTGTATTCACGTATGCATCCAAATTTTATATACAGTACCCCGGAATTCGAAAGTAGGACCGAAATACCAGTGTTCAGCGATTTTGTGGAGCGGGCTGCGCCCGCTTTATACACATAAGCATGGAGAGGATACTGCATAAACGATACACATGAGTTAAAGCAAGAAAACACCCGGGGAGCCAGCTCGTTCGCCGACACCGAAAGTTGGATCGAACTACCAGCGTTAAGAGGTTTTGAGCAGGCTGCGCCCACTTTTATCACATATGCATCCAGAAATCACTTTATACACTATACACATGCGGAAAATCAGGAAAAACACCCATGCAGCCAGCCCGCTCGCAGAGATTCGAATGTTTGACCGAACTACCAGTGTTCAGCGGTTTTACCGGTTACCCGGTATCCGCGCGCTGTATTCACGTATGCGACCAAATTTTATGTACAGTACCCCGGAATTCGAAAGTTGGACCGAACTACCAGTGTTCTGTAGTTTTGCGCGGGCTGCTCCCGCTTTATTCAAGTATGCATGCAGAAGATACCGCATACACGTTACACATGCGAAAAATCCCGAAAACACACATTGAGCCAACACGGTCGCTTGGATTCGAAAGTTGGACCGAACTACCAGTAATCAGAGGTTTTGAGCGAATTTCGGCCGCTTTATTCACTTATGCATCCAGAAGATGCTGCGTACACGAGGCACATGCGTAAAATCACGCAAACACCCATGGACCCAGCCCGTTCGCCGGGATTCGAAATTAGGACCGAACTACCAGAGTTCAGCTTTATTCATTTATGCATCCAGAAGACACTGCATACACAACAGATATGCGTAAAATCACAAAAAACATGAGTGTAGCCTGCCTGCTCACCGGGATTCGAAAGTTACCGTATACCATCTCAAAGGAGCAAAGAAAAATCTTTAATCTAAAAAAAAAAAAAAAAAAAAAAAAAAAAAAAGTGTGAATTTAATTTTATTGGTGCGAACTTATTTAAAATATCATTTGCATTAAAAGATAATATCTAAATTAAGTGCACGTATCTAATAACATAAAAAAATATATTATTCCAAAAAATCAAATTTATTATTAAAAAAATAACAACATATTTTTAAAAAATAGCTTTTTCAGATTTTTTAATTAATATCCCAGCTGATTAAAGTTGTACAACTTCAAGAACGTCATCATTTAAATTTAATGTAATATAATAACTTTTATTCAATATCAATAAAAGAATTAACGTGACAATCATCCTAACCTGAAATTAAAAAAAAATTGTGAAAAGCAGCTGTTTATTTAAAATGCCTACATTAACGAAATATTTTTAAAATACAGTTAGGTAACATGCAATCGCGTGCTTTATTCAACTTTAGAATATAACCTTGATTTGTATCTGCGGCGATTCAAGAAACTGTTGCAATCGGAAAAATGAGCCCGAAAATTAGCGTTTTCACAGTTTTTAATTAATATCTCAGCTGATTAACGTCCTACGAAGATGAGAATGGTATCATTGGATTCGTAGAATTTTTTGGAATCCGCAGACACCTGCCTCGAATTCCAACTCAGCGCCGTTCCATAGATATTTAAGAAAAAAGAAATTGACACGTGACCTTTCGCCAGCACAAATCTCGAGCGGAAGCAATTGTCATCCCCCCGGCGCTTTCGAAAAAAGCAATTTTATCTCAGCTAATTCCGAGACGGTTGCCACTCCGAAAAATGAAATAACGTTTTCGCAGTTTTTAATTAATAACTCCGCCGATTATTGTCGTACGAAGATGGGACCGGTATCGATGGATTCGTTGATTTTTTTCGAATACGGGGATATGCGTTTCGAATCGCAACTCGGAGCCGTTCCGCAGATATTCGAGATAAACGAATTTGGCACTCGGCCAAATCCCTAAAATAGGGGAAAACCCGTGAAAGAAAGTGCAAAACGTAGGGAAATGTAGGGAGAAAATCAGTTTTTAATTAATATCTCGGCTAATTAAAGTCGCACGAAGATGCCGATGGTCAATATGGCGAGCCACGGGCATTCTGAATCCAACGGTACCTTCCGCTAAGCTCTACACCCAGCCGTTCCCGAGGAGATGATGTTACAAACACACAAACAGACAGAGGCACACAGATTTTAATAGTATAGATTGCGTTTCTATCATTAACTTTTTGTGTGTTCATTTTATTTGTTAAATATCATGATCTTTACACTTACGCCACATGAAACTGAATTCAACTTCAAAATCTCAAAATATTTAAAACAGCATATCTTAAGGATTCCGACAGTGTGTCACAGATTGCTATATATTTTTTTTATATTCGCTATATTATTTCTTTATAAAGTAGCCGCTTGATCGGGCAGACGTCTAAAATAGTTATTCTTGCGTGCGTACGGGTTCGTTATATATTGAACGCACACAGTTCCGATTATACGTTGATAAAACTTATTTTATCAAAAGAAACACTTCAAAGTTCTGGAAATTTCTAGAAAAATAGTCTTACAACTCTTCACAATATCACAGAGTACAATCAGTAGTTACATTTCAAACTACTAAGAGCGTTAAACACAAGGCAATACCAAGCGCATCTAAAGAGCGAAGCTAATCCGGAGTTATCTCAATACTCCAAACTCACGCTGAACTGTCAACTCACAACAACAACCACAACCCAGATCAAATGCTGTCTCCGGTCTTATATAGTTTTCCCTCGGCTGCTGAGTATTTCCAGTACTTTCTGCTTCTGGAAAATACTGGAAGGCATATGAGGCCCGAATTACGGTTACAGCTACATACAGCATCAATTACAGTTATTCATTTACAATACCCATTACAGCTATACGGGGACCAGACCAATATGTCGACAAGTTTGGCGGCTTTTATCGATTTCTCGCCAAATTTGGCGACAAAAATTAGTTTTTGCAAATTAATTACAAAAATTAACTAACAAAAACCTTTACCAGCTTGGCGATATTTCACCAATTTAGCGAGGTAGCGGTTTACTCAGTTTGAAATAGACGTACCCTGTATTCTTTTGAGGCAGGCTTCACTGCTCTAGATTTTCATATTACATTATGCAGAAAAATACAATAATTTCACATGTAATTGCACTAAAATCATCTATCTATGCACCAAATTCGTAACATTATCATACAAAAGAAAAAGTGTATAATGATTTTTAGGGAATTAAGCTGTGGACCCTCTTCGACTGTCATTTGTGATCAAATTTTAGTTCATTATTTCTTATCATTCAGTAGCAGTTTGCAAGCTTTTACTTCGGCGCTCCATTTACTTTGGCACCGCTTCCAGAATGATGAAATCTTTTTCTATTCTGGTCACTAATTCCCATCAGATCCCATTTAAGGAATCCAAATTGGATCACATTTAAAGAATCCAAATCGTTGCTATGGCGACTGCCATTTTCCATTCTTCCAGGTGCGTAGATTGATTGGGTACCTGCTACAGCCAACAAAAGTAATCCAGTTTTGTCCCTTACAGCAATCTTGTAGCCAAAATATAATAAAATGTCTTTCTTGATGACAACTGTTACAGCACATTTTTGTGACGAAAACGTCATTTCTTGGGATAAGTGACAAAAATTAACTACCTTCTTTTTTGCAGATTCTCGCCATTTTGATACTTTAGATCAGGATTTCCCACAATTTTGTGACGAAAACGTCATTTCTTGGGATAAGTGACAAAAATTAACTATCTTCTTTTTTGCAGCTTCTCGCCATTTTGATACTTTAGATCAGGATTTCTCAGTCTGTAGTCAGCGGATTGCAACTGGTCCTCAGAACCAGTTCCTGTGGTTTCCTAGACTCCTAAAAAGACAAAAAAATAAATAAATAAATAAAATAAAATTCAAATTAGAGATTTATTGATTCAAAATTGAAAAATCAAACATCTCAAAGATACTAATTCAGAAGTCAAACAACAAAAATCAGCGTTATATTTTCAAATTTTCACAGGACTAGTTTCGATGGTTTTACCAAACCACCATCCTCAGCTGCAAAAGCGCAAATGAACGAGATAGGATATAATGATTAGATAAGATAAGAAAGCCTGGACAGAAAATAAGCTAGTGACGTCATCTGTTGATGAAACCAGAACTAAAACATAATTTTTTAAAGGCCGAAGGCAAAGGTGGATTGGAATTAGGATCGTTAACTAGAACAGAAAGATTTTTTTGAATGTGAAAAGCCTCTAGAAAATCCAGTTCTCCAATGGAAGATGTTTTTTGAATAATTTTGGCAGCAGAAAAATTGAAAGTGTGATTTTCGGACCAACAATGTTGGGCAACAGAAGACTTCTGTGTTTCCTTTTTTCTAACATGTGCCTCATGTTCCTTGACGCGAAGTTTTAAGGCTCCCTTAGTTTGGCCAATGTAAATTAAACTTTAAATCCAAAGATACTTTAAATTTACCCTTGAGACTTTGCATACACTTTGTCCTGAACCGGACTGGTTTAACATCTATACGGAAGGTTCATTTGTTGATGTCACTAATGTACACTAAATGCCTCCACTGGAATTTATTCCGCGCAGTTTTCGTTTTACATACCCATGGATACCCGGAGAACTACTTTCGAAGGCGAGGTAATGGTTATGTATGTGCTCCTAAGACAGATTTATGCCCCAAATTGACAAAGTGGTCATCCTCTTGGACCCCAAGATGTCCCTACAGGCTATTGGATCAGGAGCCTTGAATGCCAAATTCTCCGAGGAAATCCTTGAATGCCAAATTCTTTTGGAGAAACTGAAACTAGGGGCTAAAGAATTTGCACTATAGAGTATTCCTATCATTGTGACCTTTATGGTAACAACAAGAACTTGAGCAACGAGTCTGTAAATCTAAAGGATTTTTAAATTTAATGAAATCAGGAATTAAAACGCAGATGATGATACAGGTTCCATGAGAGTTATGCATCATCTGTTTTATTGTATAGAAAACTACAAAAAAGGTGGAAATTACATAAGAAAACGACCTGAGTTTGTGTAGTTTTTTGCGAAACTCATAATTTTGCAAATATTTCCAAAAATGTAATTTGATGGACAAAATATACATTCTTATTTAATGAATAAATGTGCGTACAAACATAATTTGTGTGATTTTAATTTTTACATGTAAATATTATGATGGTACGTTTTACAACCTACATGTTCCATACTTACACTTGTGTACGAGTTCGCAATGGATTGAATGCACACAGGGGCGTAGCTAGAGGGGGCAAGGGGCGCAGAATCCAAGGGGCGCCAAACTGATGTTACGACATTTTAGAATTAAATGTTTTCCATCCTTGGCAAGCAGTAGGGGGCGCGAAATCTTCAGATGTCCTTGGGCGCTGAAAACCCTAGCTACGACTCTGAATGCACAAGTCTATAAAATAATAAAATTTATTATCCCAAGAAATAAAACAAAATGCTAAAATTGCCTCACAGATATTCGTACAATATCGCAATATCTCACAGTAGTTATACTTTAAACTACTAAAATACAAAAGAACTCAATTCAAAAGACAGAGAAAGCTAATCTGATTTCACCGCGAATTCGCTACAGTCGACAACAACAAATAATTAAACAACTGAACTGAGATGTTTTTCTCCCGCTTTTATAAGCTTTTTAATCGTGCACGAGAACAGTCTAGCAATTTTTATTTTATTTATATAATTATAATTCTACTAAAATAAAAATCTGAAAGCTTTCAGATTTTACATTACGCCCAAAGGGACGCTTTTTAACGTTTTGTGCGTTACCTTTATTTATTAAATATCATGTTCTTCGTACTTAAACCATTAAATTCATTTCAACAGCAAGATTGCAAAATAATTTTAAAATGAACATATTTTAAAAATTTTTGACACACCATCTCGCGAGCTGGAGATAAAAAGATTTTTTCCCCTCCTCCCATACAGTGTTGCCATTGCTCGCTTTGAAATCGTTGAGTTTTTTAATCAAAAATTCGTTAGTTTTACAAAATATGAAATAGATAGTAAAACAAATTCCAAATTTGCGCTTCCAGATGCATATACTCGGGTGGAAACATACGTTATTCAAACTTTGATGGCTCTAGGTACTGTTGTTTTTTCACAGTGCGAGGAACATTCATTAACGCAGATTCTTCATTGTTTAATTTCTTTAAATAGAATGCAGGGCTCTAATATTTGGTGGTAACAATTTGAAAAGTGAACCGACATTTATAGTGAATCAACACAAAATGCCAAAACGAAATTAATAGTGGCTAAATTTTTAGTTAAAATTTATCTATCTAAATACAAAATTCGTAACAATATTTTCAACATGCCTTAATCAAAACTGTAAAAATGCATATCCATTAGGAAATCGACAGTCAATAATAATAATTCATTTGAGGTCAATAATAATAATTCATTTGCAGAATTTTCTCTGTAGAAAAATACGAACCCTAATCTTACGATTCCGTAAATTTAAGATCTCTGCAATTTGTAAACACCAGAGTTTAAACACATTCAACTAAACTCAAACAAACTACTTCTCTTAAATACATAGATCGTTTCGAATTGCTTGCTAAACCTTTGCGTACCCTTAGTTAGCTCTTCAACCAAAATTTTGTTGAATAAATTTTTCTTAAGTTAGAGTCGGAATTTACAGAATGTATTGCATAGGTCTTCTTTCTCTGCACCTGCTTTTGTTCAGGATACAAAATAACATGCTTCGATTAACTTTATCTAGGGCTAACCAATGAGTCCATTTTGTATCCTCATATCAAACTATCTTATCAGGGATTCGTAACTAGAAATATGATAAACTTCTGCAACACTCCTTGTGCGAACTGAAAGATAAACTGAGAAAGAAAAGTTAATTTTTAAAACTCCTTTCGGGCAAGAATTCTTCAATTAAAAATATTAATAATGTTTCTGCTGCCGTCTTTGGAGAGTTACTCAATTTAAGCTCATATAGAACATGGCCGTAAAAGAAAATGGCGTTCAAAAGACTTGTTTTTATGGACCAAGAATATTCATCATTACATGTCTTCCGAAGCCAATGGCTGCTCTTACTCTATAACTCTATTTTTGCATGAGACTAGCGGCCGCTGAACACTGGTAGTTCGGTCCGAGGTTCGAATCCCGCGAACGGGCTGGCTGCATGGGTGTTTTCGTGGTTTTCCCCATGTGTAACGTGTATACGAGCCAGTTTCCCTTAGAAAGTCCTCCACGAAGGCATCCCTCCCCTTTGGCAGATAGCCCTAGTGTGCTTTGCCGTAATTAAATACACCACCACACCTATTTTGCATGAGACCTTATTTTGCTGATCTTATTGTCGCCAAAAGTGAGCTTCAGTTGTTACTCTCGTTTCCTCCTCACTCAATAGAATTTAACAGTTTTCATCAGCCATTTTACTTCTGCAACCAAATTCAAATAGAATAGATCCATTATTTTCTATTACTAGGACAAATTACTTTATTTTCGCGGTGAATTTTTATTTGTATATTTTTCCCAAGCATGTGATGTTGTGCGGTTACTCATAAGTGGCAGATTACATTGTGTACTGAAGTTACATTGTTCTTTCAACGCTTCAGTGATTCTCTTAACTATTTTATCGGAGACAGAATCACAAGGAAGAGAATATGTGTAAAAGCCTTGTCGGGTAATACGAAATTTCGCACTTCAGAATCATACGAAGCAATTAGAAATCCACGGAAATTTATTTCTTACGAAATCAATAAAGTAGTTAGTTATTCATTATTTAATCAATATTTTATTCTTTTTCAGTTACTCATCAGACAATACTTTATTTTTTTCGGTTATTCATTAAGCAATATTTTATTCTTTTTCAGTTACTCATCAATTAATACTTTGTTCTTTTTCGTTATTCAATAATCAACACTTTATTCGTTTTCAGTTATTCATTAATGAATACTTTATTCTTTTTGTGTTATTCATTAATTAATCCTTTATTCTTTTTCAGTTTTTCATCAATCAATACTTTATTCTTTACAGTTATTCATTAAGCAATACTTTATTCTTTTTCAGTTTTTCATCAATCAATACTTTATTCTTTACAGTTATTTATTAAGCAATACTTTATTCTTTTTTCAGTTATTCATCAAGCAATATTTCATTCTTTTTCAGTTACTCACCAATTAATACTTTATTCTTTTTCGGTTATTCATTAAGCAATATTTTATTCTTTTTCAGTTACTCATGAATTAATACTTTGTTCTTTTTCGTTATTCAATAATCAACACTTTATTTGTTTTCAGTTATTCATTAATGAATACTTTATTCTTTTTGTGCTAGTCATTAATAATCCTTTATTTTTTTTCAGTTTTTCATCAATCAATACTTTATTCTTTACAGTTATTCATTAATCAATACTTTATTCTTTCTCAGTTTTATTTATTTATTTATTTATTTATTATTTTGTTATTCGTTATTGATATTTTAATCTTCTTCAGTTATTCACAGTTATTCATTTATCAATTCTTTATTCTTTTTCAGTTATTCATTAATGAGTACTTTATTCTTTTTCAGTTATTCATTAATCAATACTTTATTCTTTTTTAGTTATTCATTAATCAATACTTTATTTTTTCATGTATTCATTAATCAATATTTTATCCTTTTTCATTTACTCAGTAAATATATATATATATTTTTTAGTCATTGTTCAATACTTTATTCTTTTACAGTTATTCAATACTTTATTCTTTTTTCATTGACGATCATCGAAATGCCCGCCCAAATCATCGCCCTAAAATTATGACTATTTTTAAAAAACCGTAAATTATGCAAGATTAGATTAAAAAAGTTGAATATATCCTGAACTGAACTGAAATTGTGTAA